GTACAGCGAAAAGAAAACCCGTCCTAATAAGAATAGTTTAATAGTGCAACCAATTACCTGACTGAAGTGATGGTGGGTTATCTTTCATTGTATATATTCAAGTGGAAGATTGGGCAGCCACCTAGCTGTGATTCCCACAGTAAGTTGGTAGTTGAATTAGATGTCTTAAGCGGCACTTTCCATCAAAAGGATTTAGCTTAGCTCTTTCAGTCAGATCCCAGTATTGTTTGTTTTAGACATGTCACTCTCTGATTAGGTTGCTTTATGTCAATATAAAATAAAAGTATTGCCCCTAGACTCTTTACAAAGATGTACTTTATCTACTACAAACCCTTTTCTCTCTGCAAATCACAACATCCGGATAATCTGGTTTAATGAAGGATTAAATTAGATTGAATGGATCAACAGTAGAGATGCTGGAGATTACTAGGAAATTACAGAATAGGCCATTTTACAACAGGCAAAACCTTGTAAATATGCCTTGAAAAGGCAATATCAATACAGCTTATAAACTTTAGGGCATAAAAAGTAATTTGCTCTTTCTTCACATCTTTATTTCACATCTGTAGCTGAAAGAAATGGTTCCTTAAACAGACAAGTTCTTCTGAACCAATCTAAATAATCTAAAACAGTGGTCACCAACTGGTGGCCCACAGCCCACTGGTGGGCCGTGAGAAAATTTTGGTGGGCCACAGAGAAATCTCACCCCCAGAGCACCCTCCACAAATTAATCCAGGCTGCACAGAAACACAAGGCTGTGCCGCCCACATGGCCTGCCAGAACCCTCTCTGCCTACTCATTCCTTACCCAACAAACTTGCCTGCTAAATTGCTACTTTTCCTTTTTCCGACTATCATCTGTTCTGCTATGCTGGGAGATTTAGATTAGCTAGGAAGCAGGAAATGGTTGGATTTCTTGCTTTCTAGGTAGCTTTAGATCTTCGGCTCAGCACAGCCAAATCTCCCTTAGGACTGAAGGTTTGCTTGCAAGCAAATTCAGTGCCTAGTCACGGCAAGCAAATTTGAGGGACTGAGCTAGCCGATGGCAGATAGATAGATCACTGAATGATTCTGTGAGCAACTCAATATGCCTGCTTTGCCTGATTTTGAGTAAAAGTTGCTCTTTTTTAAAATAAAAAATTCAATATTTACATGCATGGTGTGTTATGAGTTAGTTTTGTGAGTTTGCTTGCAAGCAAACTTTATGTGACAGACTGAGCTAGCCAATGGCAGATAGATAGATCTCTGAATGAATCTGTGATTCTGTGAGCAACTCAATATGCCTGCCTGCTTTGCCTGATTTTGGGTAAAAGTTGCTCTTTTTTATAAAAAAAATCAATATTTATATAAATATTTATAATATTTACATACAAGCCATGCCCAGCCAGTCACATGACCACCAAGCCACACCCACAAATTAGGCCACACCCACAGAACCAGTTAGTGGTCCCTGGTATCTAAAATTATGAGTTAGGTGGTCCCTGAGGTCCAAAAGGTTGGCGACCCCTGATCTAAAACATGTCTGATTGCTTTTAATATACAGCTCATATTTATAGCAGAAACAGATATTATCAGTTACTTAACCTGATTTTTATGGCAGAATTGCTTTTTTATTGCCAGGTAGTGACTAATGTGTATTTTTATATGTTTAAAATGTAGCATTTTGTTGGTATTAAGGGGCTAGAGTTCCTTTTATCTTCTGTTGAATTAGAACATTTTGTGAATAAATGTGCAAATACTTGTCTATCCAGCAGCTTTTTAGAGAAGTTTCCCACCCCCACCCCCCCGCCTTTCTCCTTAAAATCATTGTGATCATTTACAGAAAGATTATTTAATATTGAGTTACTTTAATGGTTTTCAAGTGTGATAGAAAGGCGGTGATTATGTAAAAAAAGTTTGAATAAATGCAATCTGGACTTAGTCATTTTCTCACCTATTTTTATTTATTTATTTATTTTATTTGGTTTGTCAATTGCTTACAAGATAATAAGTATAAGTAAAAACATAGTTATGAATACATGGATACATATAAGAAAAATAAAAGAAACCTAAATTAGCATGTCAGCAACCAAGGGGCTCGGGGGGAGGGCAGAGAATCCTCAACTTTTGTTGTATTGCAGAGATCACCTTCTAGTAAATTTCATATGGCTTCTAGTTCATTCGATGCACTGAACCCAAATAATCTTGAAGTCAGACATTAATTTCCTGGGAAGCAAATGTCTCAACAGTGAATAAATCATGTGTAGCGTTTATACCAAGAAAGCAAAGAACTTCAAGCCGGAATGCTTTAAAGCACAAAACATACTGCATTGGCATCTGATATGGCAGTGATGCAAGTAAGCTGGTGACTTTGGAAGGGATCAACCAAGCAGATTAAACCTTGGAACTTATTAGATGGTTGCTCTCCAATCTGTACATTTTCTAAATATTTGGGTTCAGGCCCTAAAATACCCAACCATCAAGGGCATTTTTAGGAATTCTAGAAATCCAGTCTTTTCTGCCTTTTGGAACACCATCCCTGAGATCTAGATGGACCCAACTCTAATAACTTTCAGAAAGCTTTGAGGAACTGGCTTTTTCCCCAGATGGTGACCAGGATTTTAAGGCTCTGGATACCTCAACAGAATGTGAGTTCCGTTCTACATTTCTTCTCATTGCATCCTGTCAATATATTGGTTTTCCATTTTGGTTGGTTTTTTTTTCGGTTCATGGAAATGAATGATCTAGTAAATGAGAAGTATGTGAGAAAAATCCAAATACCAGAATAACTGTGGATCTTAATAATTAGTTTTATTACTTTTAACAAAAAGTATGGGAGTAGCTGATCACTTGAAAAACCAAATAATAGTTCAAACAGATCTTTGTGTATTACATCTATGCAATAGTCTCCAATAATCTCTTCTGAAAACTCCTTGCAGAGACAAGAGATAATTTGTAGAACTGAAAACAGTGCAGATCAGTTTTGGAATAAAGTTTGATTTGGATGCCAAAGCTACTATTGTTTTAAATTTATTAATAAAAACATCAATAATCAATTACGGTATGTATAAATGTACTTTATCATCTTCAGTTTGTTTGACTTATGAAGATGCTTAAACTCAGGTGAAGTACAAAAAAATGCTAGCACAATGTCCAAGTAAACTAAATTGGTTTTTATTTTATTCTATAAGAAAAGAAACCTCTGAAGATAAGATAAATGTTTGAAATATTAATGTTTGAAATATTGACTTCAGTCAGTCTTGACTCCTAATGTCTGCCTGGATAAATCCCTGTAGTTTCCTTAGTAAGATTTTTGGAAGTGGTCTGCTATTGTCCTTCTACAACTGAGAAAGAATACATGGGCAAAGTTAGCCAGCTGGCTTTATCTCTAAAGTAAGGCTAGAACTCACAATCTGATTATTTTTTTTAATTTACTGCCTTTAATCACATATTCCACTATATCAGGGGTGTCAAATTTGCATCATCACATTGTCACATGACATATCGCGACTTTCCCCTTCACTAAAATGGGGTGTGTGTGTGGCCAGCGCGTGATGCATCTGGCCCATGGGCCATGAGTTTGACACCCCTGCACTTTATCAGACTGATTGTCTTATATGGTGTTGAGAATAGGTTCAGTAGTACTACTTTCTATTTTTGTCCTATTATGGTATTCTAAAAATACCTGAAATACTAGATTATAATATTTTCTGGAAAGCTGTGATCAACTATAGTTCTAACAGAAATCAACATAAAGTGGATTAAGATCCACTTTCTTGAAATAAGTTGTTATGTGAATATCTCCTTAGAGAGAGTAGAACTGGCAATAACCATACTGCATACTTATTCAGATTTTTGTAAGTTTTGTTTATATATTGTTTTGATTATTAAACTTATCCAGTGGAAAGATGGAATCCAGTGGAAATTGGTTTCTGGAATTCTGGAATCCACACTGGAACCACCAAGTGCTAGAGTCTCATTGGCCAATGCTATAGAAGAAGATTCAGTTTTCAGGGCGTTTTTTACTAAGAAGAATCTTGTCAACCTTCTTGTATCTCACAAGAATCCAAGAATTTCCAATAATTATTTTGTTGTTAATTTGAGAAAAATAGGAAGCCATAATGAAAAGTCTACCAGCAGCTGTGTTACAAGAGCAAATCCTATTTATAGCATAAATATTCAATCAGTTTGTGACTCTTTTTTGCCTACACAATCTCTTTTTGGTCAAGAGGGCTGGTTTCCATCTGTCCCTTATTTAGCAGTGGTCAAGTCTGCTATCCTGTTGGTTTTGTCGGGCTGAATGAGAACTAATGCTCATCTGGCATGGACACTGATGAAAATGGATTGTCTGGAAAGATCCAGGAAATTTGGAATTATTTAGTGGAAATACTATACTTGAGATCGAGGATTCCAAAATGCAACCAAAATGAAAATTGCATAAATGTAGATCAAAGAAACATATGGAGTAGTAGTGAAATATATAATAATTTACTATTCAAGATATAAAAAGTACTCATATTGGCCTAGTAAATTTTAAATTTTTTTGTATGTTAAATCGATATTTATAGAACTATTATTGTTTGAACAAGAGCATGAGGTTCACTGTCTGCTCTCTGTTTACTTCTCTGCTTTAGAAATACATTTATACTTCTATACCATATTTACAGTAGCGTATTTGTTGCAAAATAAGAAAAAATCTCACTAAATCTGAAAAATTTTGAACAGCTATATACTGATTTTTGGAATCAGTGTTATTTTAGGTTTTTTTAAATACCTGAGCTCCCAGTGCTTTTCTTTTTTTTTTTTTCACAGCCATAAGATGTTTAAAAGAACACATTTAGAGTTCTCTTCTGTTTAGGAATCTTCAACACATCTTCAAGCTTCACAGAGTAAGATGTATATAGCAGCCAGTCCTGCAATTTTGAAAAGCCAGATTGAAATTTACTTAAATTATGCTTTTATGTAAATTGCTTAAATAAGTGGAGATATAAATACTATATACATTTTTTTCTGTTTCTCCAGGAAATGATTTGTTTCTAGTAGCAGTTCACGAACTGGGACATGCCCTTGGATTGGAGCATTCAAATGATCCAACTGCCATTATGGCTCCATTTTACCAATACATGGAAACTGACAATTTCAAACTACCTAATGATGATTTGCAGGGAATCCAAAAGATATACGGTATGCTCTTTTAAAAGAAATATGCATAATGTGAGAGAGGATTATTTCAGCTGTGTACACTGAGAAATCTTTGCATACATGGTCAGTTTCATGGAAAGCTGTCAATCAGTCTGCAGATTGACACACTTAAAGCTCCTTGTGCTCTTTTGATTCTCTCTACCTATTCCTGCAGTTTTCGTGGCAATTATTCAGCAATTAGTTGCCATTGCTTTAAGACTAGTCCGTTTAGTTCAATCTAGCATACTCCTGGGATTTTTGTGATACTTTTTTATGCAAGTTATTAACCAGGTCAAATCCTGTGTCACTTCCTTGGGGGCCAGTCAAGATCAGCTAAGTGCTGCTACCTACTGTAGCTTGAAGTTCTAATAGAAGGTAAAGTGAACATGCAAAAAATGTTTGTTTATTAAGCTTCAGTGGCTTCTTCATTTCAGTAAAACTGATTCCATCTAATTCAAAGGGTGATGTGACACGGCCCTGCTCCTGTGCCTCAGATTGCCTTTTGGTCTGTTACTGCAGAGCAAATTCTGTAAAAGAAGACTGTGGGAATTCTTCTCCTGTAGCACTGGCCAGAGGATTTCCAAGCTGGTCAGCTTTGGCAAATGCTGTGGAATTGTCCACAGTGACTCACTGAAGATGGTCCACTTTGGAGGGCCCTTAGCAATATGCTTTAGGTCTTCTAAACTTTATATTTTCACCAAGTGCTAGAGATAACTCTGCACCATGTGCCAAATTTACAAAGTCTGAAAGCTTTTCCAAACTGGTCAGTGGCAGTATTCCCAGCAAGGCAGCTTTAACATACACTGAAAACTGTCAAGCTTTGAAGCACTTTATCCAGCATTGGAGAAGGTGGTGAGGAGGCCTTTTTCCACAACTCTGTCCTCAGATGGTCTAAGGCCATTCGGTTGTTTTGTTGAAGAATTTAATTGAATTATCTCTTGACTTCTGCAAAGTACATCACAAGGCCTCCACAGAATAGATGCTCTGTTGAAGTGAATGTCAATTGCTTTATACAATCCAAACTTGAAATAAGGAAGAATGTCATTACCAGTATAGCTCTTAAAGAGTGGAACAACTTTCCCTTTGAGTTGTGGATTCTAAGAGGCTTTCAAGTTGGACAATCAATTTGTGCTTAGAATATTTCTTATTCATTGCTGGCGGAGGAACTCTGGGAATTGAAATCCACGCACCTTAAAGTTGCAAAGGTTGAGAAACACTAGCCTAGACGTTCAATATCCCTTTCAAATCTATGATTCCATGTTTCTCATGGGCTTATTATTTATATCTATTTCTCCAAAAATCTTCTCATTTTGTGTTTTACAAATTAAATATGTGTTTTCCTGTTGTTATTGCTTTCTCTGATGTTATCCTCCCTTTGTTTTGCATGGGAGATTTAGTTTATTCACATTAGGAATACAGGAGACAGAAATTCCTCATTTTATGTATTCAATATCTATTAATTTGCTACTAAACTTTCTTCATTCCCTCCAGTATTTCCATTTCAGCATTTCTTGTCATCTTATATTTCATTATAAACATTGATTTACTAAAATATGTTTGAACTGTTTCTATTCCTTCACTAGATAAACTGATTCCCATCTTGTTTAATGGTGGAAATGTCAGATTAGTATTTTTATTGAAAAGTAGTAATTTGTTCTAAACCATTGCCATTGAATAAGAATATAAAAACAATTGAGGTTCATTAAATCTTTTCTCTTTACAAACATCTATTCCATATTTTACAGTGGCCTGTTTGCTATAAAATATGAAAAATGTCACTAAATTGTTGAAAAAGTCTAACTACATAAATTTTTGAGATCAGTGTATTTGATAAAACCCCCTTTATCTTTTGGATTTTGTCCAAAGAATTCTAAATGCCTTGAATATTTCACCAATAATGTTTTAAACAATTTAAGTTTAAACAATTTACAGCAAAGGGAGCATTGTAGTTCAAGTATGCATGGAGATCCTTAATCATCCAGGTCATGATTGTCCCAAAGATACTTTTTCCAACAACAAAACAAAACACACCTTTCTTGCCTTTTTTTCTTTGAAAATATTAGAAGTTAAACATTTTCAAACCCAAAAAAAAAAAAACCAAGAAAGTCCAGTTGCCTTTTAGTAGAGGTACCTTTGGGAATATCTTTCAAGGATCTACATTTTAATTTGCTCTTTGTCATGACATTTTAATTTTTTAATTTGTTCTTTGTAATGACATTTTAATATTTTTGTCTTTTTACTAACTGCTTACTTTTTCCTGTCTTTAAGTCTGTTTAGTTATCTTTATTGGTACAGCCATGTCCCCTGATTACTACTGTTTCTTGTTCCTTTGATTTGTTTTCTGTTTGATTGGTATGGGACCTCTGGATACGTTTAGACTAGAAACTGCTTAGAGCACAGACATGAATTTTCTTACAGTTGAATAAGGTTATTTGTTATTGCCACATCTGTTTGTAAGACTGATGAAATTGGGACTGATGAAATTGTAACTGTGGTAATGTACAAGTAGCTCAGTTTTATATTGCATGTTAAAGAATATTCTGCTTTTCTGGAGAGAGAGTGAGGTGTTTCCCATGAACTCTTAGACATCTAGACCAGAGGTCCTCAAATTTGGCAATTTTAAGACTTCAACTCCGAGAATTCCTGAGCTAACATGACTGGAGGAGGAATTCTGGGAGTCGAAGTCCACAAGTCTTAAAACTGTCAAGTTTGAAGACCCCTAATGTAGACAGAAAAATCTAGACAATTTTTCTATTTTTCTTTGATACTAGATTCACATTTCTAGCAGCTGTAGGCTAAATTTTGAAGATTTGTGGATCTTGGGAGTTAGACATGTTTTGCTAAACAAACTGTATGTGTGCAATTTTTGAATTCCAAAATTTTAAACTGAATATTGCCTGCCACAATTCCTCTGAGGTAATGTCAATGATAAAATCCAAAGTTGGCTGTCACTTAATATTTAGATTAAACATTGTTCAAATGAAGAAATATTTCATTTTTAATATCTATAATTTTATCATGCAAAACTGACTTTAATTAATGTCTTTAAAAGATTACATATATATACATATAGACTAACACAATACAGAAGTCTGATGATGGCAGATGAGATTCTGCCGAAACGTTGCTACAACTTTAAAAGCACAACTATAATGACGTGGGAAAATACCTGAACAAAGGTGAATTTTTTATATATAAGGTGCCACCAAATATTATTGACTATTCTCTACATCTAGAATATCAGATATTAAGGAAACATAATTATGCTATTTTTTTTCTGATTTGCATGTGATATGAAGAAAGAAGAAAAAAAGCTTTATTAGATCTGTCAAAGAAACAATTTATCTACCATTCTGTTTTTATATGGATAGTCCAATGTCACTAAGAAGGCCACATCAGAAGCAAGAAAATGACTAAAGTTTGACCCTACCAAACTACCTTGTTATTTACAGATAGCATACCTCTAGCTTATCATTATAACAAAGCATATTTTTAGCAGTTATTCTGGCAAAGAGCACCTTAAACCATTTAAACCATTGATAAGTATAGTCTTAAGATAATATGACACAACATTCATGTTTAATTCATTGCCTAAGAATAGTGATGTGCAGCTATTTGGATATGAATCACCTTTTCTACTTTGAACCTGAATAACTACATACTGTATTCCTATTAAAGAGAAAACATTCCATTTTTCTTGAATATAAAAAAATTGTTGCAAGGTACTGCTTGTTTAGATGCATATCTTCTGTTTTTATTAGCTCTTCTATTTGATAATTTAATTTGTAGGCCAACCTGAAATCCATTCTAATAAACTAAAGCACTTTTAAAAAGCATTTAAAAATTAACTTTATAGATATGTTATAACAACATAGATTTGTCTATCGCTTTCATTTTTTTGTATGGTTTAAATTCTACTCTAGTACTAATTTTTGTATATATCTGCCCCAGATATATCTTTCTTTGTTGAAGGCTGTAGAGGTCATAAGGATAATTTAGTTTATTTTAAAAGGATGAAATAAAATAACCATAGCTCAGCAATTTATAACCAGTCAAAAAAAAGTGGAAAAGCTAGTTTGTTGTAGTGGCTAAGACATTAGGCTAGAAATGAGGAAACTACGAGTTCTGGTCCCATCTTTCCCACAGATCTAACTGAGTGGCTTTGGGCCAGTCACTTTCTCTGAGCCCTAGAAAGAGACAATGGCAAATCACTTCTGAAAACCCTTTCCAAGTAAACTGCAAGGTCTTGCGCAGGCAATGCCCAAACATTTGACATGATTAAATGGAGGAAAAAAGTAGAATAAATTTTAACAGGCACCCAGTAACCAGAAATTCAATTGAGATGAATTATGCAAATTTAACTAGACCTAATTAGTTAATTTAAATTAAACTAGCCTTAAAAATAACAATTATTTCAATGTGTGCATTTCTGGTCTAAAATATATATATTTTAACCACAGTATATTAATCTGTCTGTAACATAGTAATGTGGATAGCTGTTTTTGAAAAAGGAAAAAACCTTGGAAATGCTTAATATATTTCTCTTAATTACTTAGTAATTAGTAAATAAATACAAGAAAAAATTAGGAACACAATTAACCTCCAAAATTGTGAGGATTCAAAATAATTAAAAAATAATTGTTTTCTGGTTTTATTTTTTTAACAAAGAAATCACCTTAAAAAAGAAACAAGAATAAATGCAAAAAGTAAAATACAAACTGAGAAGAAAAAGAAAAAAATATCTTATACAGTATTTTATACTTACCAACAGCCACTAGTTTACCAATGAATTCACTACCATAATATGAACAGTACAAACTATTATTGTAAGATATCATAGAATCTTTGCAGTAACAATATTACTGTACCCTTTCTAATTCAAAAGAGAGAGGTCACAAATTTCTGACAATTATTCCTTGACAATTATATAACTTTTTCATTTATTAATATAATGCTTTTTGCCATCCTCCAAAATAACTCAGTGTTGAGTTCTCCAATCATTTAACTTGCTAATGAAAAATTATGTCATCACGTTCTTATGCTATTTCATAAAATCAGTATTATCTTGGTTCATAAAACCCAATATTATGCAACTTACGTATATTAATCTTATGAAAGTTTTCTTTCTCATTTAAAGGTCCACCTGACAGAATCCCACCACCAACAAGACCCTTGCCGACAGTACCTCCACATCGTTCTGTCCCTCCAGCTGATCCCAGGAAGAATGACAGGGCTAAAGCTCCTCGGCCACCCACAGGGGATAAGCCCTCCTACCCTGGTGTCAAACCCAACATCTGTGATGGAAATTTCAATACTCTAGCCATTCTCCGCCATGAAATGTTTGTTTTTAAGGTAGGCGGCCATTTTTTTAAAAAAAAATTTAGAGCGAGAGAATGTATCTTCGCTTTTTCAAAAGCCAGCTCTCATTCAGCCTGATTGTGCTTCTGAGCTTTCTTGCTTTTTCCAAGTTCAAGAAAGACATCTGAATGGTTTATATGTTTATCAGAGAAAAGGCCTGAATGTTCTATTTTGAGGAATGAATTAATGTCAGCAGGAAATTGCAATGCTTCATAAATGTAATGGTAAGTAAATACTGAATATTATGGGAGGATTTTAAAAAGGCATAATTCAAGTCATGAATAGAAACTAATAGGGATGATTTGGTTGGGAATTTAGCCATTTCCACGCTCATTGCTATTATTATGTTTTCTGCATAAGGACCCTGTAATTTAAATTTATAATTAGATCAGACACTTTATAAAAGATATTTGTCATAGTGTTGTGGTTGCCTTGATACATTCTGAGTGGAGGCCAGTGTTAAAAGAAAGACTTTGCAGGTGTTTGAAGGCTTTTTGTTATTGATATTTTTGGGTTGGTTCAATTTTTGTTTGAAGATGTGTCTGTATGGCACTTACTTTGATTTTAAATAGGCCAGTCAATATTCAAAGACAATCAAAGCAAATCGATTGACTGGACCACAATAATGATCTGGCACATTTTCTTGAATGATTTCCAAAATGCAACAGGGCCATAATTTTAAATGATTTTTATGGGATATTTTGGTACAAGTTTGCAAAATTAAACAGAGAATATTAAATGACATTCTATTAGCTTCCCAACACATATTCTAATTTTATATTTTCTTGAACTAGCTGTGATTCAAAAAAAAATATTATGTGACTATTTAAATAAATGCACTTCTAGCATACACAGAGTCTTTTAATTTTTCTTAGAAAATATATTTATAGAAACAGTATTTAAGGATTAATAGGATAAGTGTTCTACTGGTGTCCTCAGTGTTATGCATAACTGTTGCAGGGATGAGATTCAAATTTTTTAACAACCGGTTCTGTGGGCGTGGCTTAGTTGGTGGGCATGGCTTGGTAATCATGTTATTGGCTGGGCATGGCCAACTCAATATCACTCACATTGAGGCACGCATCTCCTCGCCTGGCCTCTCATGACTGTGGGAATGCTGCAACAATCGTAAGTGTGAAAAATGGTCATAAGTCACTTTTTTCAGTGCCATTGTAACTTAGAATGGTCACTCCACACAAGCAAAGTACCAGCAAAGGAGGGGAAAAAAAACTCCAGAGATGTTCCTGAGACAGGAAGTCTAGTCCTGCCAAGAATGTAATAAGGTTTAACAAGAGAGGCAGTTTCTGTAAGCAACACCAGAATGTTTCCTTCCTGCTTTCCTTACAGGATTAGGCCACTAATTTTTTCTAACAACTGATTCTCTGAACTGCTTAGAATGTTACGAACCAGTTCTAGCAAATAGGTGCGAACTGGTAGAATCCCACCCCCGATCTGATGTCCTCAGAACTGTACAAAGATCAAGATCACTCAAAAATATCAACCTTGGATTAAGCTCTAATGCATAGAATACAATTGATTAAATATGAGATGTTTCTGTGACTTCATAATTGAATTACATTTCCTATAGAAAAGACAATGTATATAAGGGACATGCATGAAAATTACATCTAAAATACAATGAACAGATTGATAGATAGTAGAATTTTATTGACATTCATTGGAACTCTCAGCATGCAAACAAATGATAAGTTGGATCCACAAATTATACTGACATTTCTTCAATGTAATGTATTTCTATTGGGCTTTGTCCTCCTTCCACATGTCAATACAATTTCAAAAACAGCCCTCATTCCCCAGAGGTCCTAAGGCAACTACCCTCAGCAGCAGGAAGATCTGCCTGAAGGCAGAGGGTGCTAAGAATCTCCAGGTTAAATCAGGATGCCTTTGGACATAGGAACAGTCAACATTCAAGCAATGAATAATGGAAGTCTCACTAATAAACTTGACTACATTGAACTATGCAAGGCCATAAGAAAATGTATCCAAGAAGAAATCACCAGTTTAACATGAAGCTTGTGGAAGGGATTAATGGAGCAAAATGCAAGCTTATAAATATAAGAAAGAAGATTTTTGTATTAAAATATAAAGATGTTCTGTATGTAGAACAAGATAGGAAATGTTAGAAATAATTGAAAAATTCTATTCAGAGCTATAAAAAGATCAAGAGAATTCAAAAGTAACAACACCCACAAAAGAAGAAATGCAGATGTCCTAGTAGAGAAAGTGTCAAGTTTCATTGCCACAAAATCAATGAAAAATGGCAAAGCTTCAGGAAATGACTCTGTTATGGTTGAAATGCTGAAAGCTGGCAGTCATTGTTTATACAAGATACTAGCAAAAGTATACTCAAGATACCTCAGAGAAGAAGAAAAAAATACCCAAATGCACAGAAAATACTGAAATGATTTTTATACACAAAAATGGGGCTCAAGATGATTTAAAGAATTATTACCCAATAAGCATTATTTCAGTCATCTACAAGGTTTTCACCAAGATAATAGCAAAAAGATAATTGAGCACATTAAATGTTGCACAGCCAAAGGAGCATGCAGGGTTCAGAAGTGGCTACAGCACAATGGATCACATCCAGGTTGTTCAGCAAATCATTGAAAGGCACGAGTATACCATGCCTCTGTGCATGGTTTTCATTGACAACGAAAAGGTGTTTGACTCAGTATTCCAGCAAACAGTCATTAAGGCATTGCTTAACCAAGATGTAGACAGTGCTTGCATAAACTTACCACAATCAATAGATAAAAAAACAATGGCAACAATTTGCCTTAATGATCTTAAAGTAGAAATCAACATAGAACGAGGTGTATGACAAGGCAATACAACATCACCTATCCTTTTCTCAGCCTTCCTTGAAGAAGTATTTTGCAAACTAGAGTGGGCAAAACATAGAATAAAATCAATGGTGCTTATTTAAATCATTTAAGATTTGTAAACAATGTTGTTCTCTTCTCGCAAAAGAGCTACAAAGACACATACAAGAGCTGCACAAACCAGGAGAACCATGTGGCTTAAAAATAAACTTGAAAAAGAGCCGGGTTATAAATTCACCAAAGAAAGAAAAAAATATTATACCTGGAGAAGAACTAGACATAGTAGACACCTACATATAATTGGGTCAATGGATCTCAATGGAAGGTGGTACAATAAAGAAAACTGAATGGCGTATTAAATGTGGTTGCAGGCATTTGGCAAGCTAAGCATAATTTTCAAGAACAACTTCCCCCTTATGCCTGAGAAGTTTTAGATCAGTTTATGCTATCTGGTCTAACATATGCTGGTGAAACACGGACACTAACCTCACAATCAATACAAAAACTACAAGTGGTGCAAAGAGCCATGGAAAGATACATGCTCGGCATTACAAGACAAGGTAGAAAGATCTGCACATGATTAGAGAACAAATAAAAGTATATTTATCATCTCACATTTATCATCAAGAGAGTAAAAGAACTGAAATGGAAAAGGGCTAGTCACATGGCAAGAAGAACTGATGGCAGGTGGACCAAGGCAGTCATAGAATTGATCCCCCCTGATAAAAAGCATCCATGAAAGAGATATAAAACAAGATGGAATACATTGACGAGTAGAATTTTCAAAATGAAAGACAGTTGTGCTGCTTGTGTAATAGATGGTCTCTGTCTTATCAGATAACTGATTCGAAACTACCTGGTGATGCCAGGAAATAATTAATACAGGGAATTGTGGGAAATTAAAAGATTTTCCTCCCCCACTGATCAATAGAAGAAGGGTCACACTTATGAGAGGTTCATAATATTGATTATGCCAGTGTAGAACTTCAGACTTTTCAGATATGACATATTAATTGGTCATGATAGACTTGCTACACAAAAGTACCTCAAACCACTCCAATAAAAATAGTCCAGGAGACCAAGTAACTTGGCATTTAATAAATTGAAATAACTGAACATTATTTAACAATACTACTTAGTAGAATGCATAACTTTCCCTGATAACAAAATGAGTAGATTCTAGGTAATTGATTCATGGTTACTTCATGTCATAGAAGAATGTCTTTTATGTATTAAGTATTTTTCAGACAGAACTACCAGCTTTTGAATAAAGGCTTTGTAATATTATGGTTTTATTTTTAATACCCCATGGCCATCCATCTTTGTGAATGAAGTGAAAGGTTAAGAATCTCATTTTCCAACTTGACATTAAGCAGGATATTAAAATTCCCAGCCATTTTTTATGCCATTCATCTCGTAAACAATAGAATGTGCTCTAATTTGTTTTACACTGTAGAAATTATTTACTACATCACTAAAATAAATCTTATTTTTATTAGCCTAAAACTGTGGTTTTAATTGGAAAGATCAGCCATAATTTTGTGTAGTGCCTCCCTTTTAGTTATGAAACCAAAGCTGTAACTTTGATACAGACAGTAATCATTCATCTAATCTTAGAAAACTCTATGCATGTCTACTTAAAAGTAAGCCCCACTGAATTTTGGTGGAAATTATGTCTAGGGAACTGAGACAAAAATGACAGATTGCATTGTGTGTAGTGAAGTATAGCTTCTTTTCTGATGTTTTATTTATAATTATATTCCTCTTCAGAAATAAAAGCATTCAAAAATAATATGCAATAAATAAAATCATTTTTTCCATCTTTTTATATAGTTTGTCAACAGAATATTAAAATAGTATGTCCTGTACTTTGGACTCAGAAGCAAAAAGAGATTTCAGAACATGCAGAGGTGTAAACATACTATGTTTCTATAATTTCTTAAATCAGTCGTGTGTTTTCACTGCTACCATATGATCTCAGGAGTAAACATGTTTGGTTTTAGGCAATATTTTTCAAACTTGGTAGGTTTAAGATGCGTGGACTTCAACTGCCAGATTTCACCAAAAATCCTCACATCTTAAACTTTCCAAATTTGAAAAACACTGTCTTTATACATCACATTACCACATGCTCGTAAGCATCTTTTT